TTAACATACCTTCAATATTATAAATTAAATTGCATTGATTTAATTTTTTATATTGTTCTAATTCTTTAAATTCTTCACAGTTTTCTAACTTATTATATCGCTCAAAATCATATTGTTCTAAATTTTTATATTGTTCTAAATCTTCATATTGCTCTAAATCCTCATACTATTCTAAATCTTCATATTGCTCTAAATTCTCATATTGTTCTGATTCTTTATATTGTAATTTTTTGTCTTGATTATTCGATTTATTAATCTTCTTTTTTTAGAATATACTTCTCCAACAATAACACCATCTTTATCATATAAACATTTTTTGTTTTTTTTCATGGTGTTGTTTAATTTGCTTGCTAAGTTTTCGGCCATTTGGATTAATAATTAAACAAGTATTACATTTACAAATTTCTTTTTCTGAATTCATATTTGTTATATTTATAAAAAGCAAAGGAGAATTTTAAGTATGTATTATAATTTATAGAATTTATAATTATATAATATTGATTATGCTGTGTAATGTTTTTGTGCATATCATAATTTGTACTAAATATAGAGAAGTGTTAAAACCAGACGAGTTTTTTTAATATAAATATTAATTAAGGTAATTGGCTACGTGAAAAATTTTTGTTTATAAATTACATGCCCAAAAGTTAAATACTTGTCAAATATAAAAGATTTTAGCTAACCATTATTTAATCTTTTATTATAATCTTATATAACTAAATTATCGAAGTTTACCTTTATTAAAAGTATAAAAAGTAGCTTTTTTATACTTTAGATACAATATGAATGAACTATTATTATTACAATATTTTAGTCTATCTTTATATGCCTGTTCTTACTTAGCCTTTCTATTTCTATACTTTGTTTTTTATCTTTTATTATCACAGGCTTAATTTAAATAGTTCTAGCCTATATCTAATTCCCCGCCTTATCTCTTTTCTATTTACAGTAACGAATAAGACCTTGCGTATCTTAAAGCCTTGCAAACTGATAGAAGCCACATAATATTTTTGTAATTCAAGACTTAGCCACAATATGTTTTATTAATCACAATCTAGACAGGTTTTTTTTAAAAACTATTCTAGTGCTCCCGCTAAAAAAAAAAGTGAAGATTACTAAAAAATCTATGTTATGAAACTCAGGTGCTCCCATACTTTCGGCAAAGCTATGCTATTAATGTAAATAAACCCTATTTAAACAAAAAACAATGATTTATTATTGAGGCTTTGGGCTTATTTATATTTAATGCTGAAGATGTTTATTGATTTGACCTTGTATATTTGATTTTTAAAAAAGCCAATTACAGGAATTATAAATAGGTAAATAAGTCATTACCATCTTTCGAATGTTTAAATAAATAAATAAGTATAAATATAGATTCAAAAAATTTTACACTAAGCATAGCAATAAAGTATAATCTAAATTTTTGAGCAATTGTCGGTGAAATATGGTGTCTATGAAGTGATTGTCAGTGAGCTTTTTATTAAGTTTCTTATTTAACTAGCAATTATACCAATAATTAAAGATCTGAAGACAATGTATGTACCTCTTAATTTATTGCCTGTGCTAATTTGTCTTTATTCAAGTCAATTTAGCCAATAGAAATAACAATTATTTTTTAATTGAAAAACTGAAATATGTAAAATAATCTGTTATTATTAATTTCTTTTTGTGCTGATTTACTTAATTGATTATTAAGTTTCTTATTAAAATTAATATAAGTATAAGTCGTATATTTTAAATTTTAGCCTAAAGTTTGTAACTGGTTTATTTTTCATGTTAAACCCGGTTTAATCGGTTTTAACATATGAAAAATAAAACTGGTTCCAAACTCCATTTTATCCCTTTATGAACATAAGATGTAGAAAGCCAAGCGCCCTTCCTTACATTTGTTTATTATATAATAAAATTTTTGTAATTTTTAAATTTCTGTTTTTGTGATCTATTTTTTATTCACATTATCTTCAAGAGTTCCAATAACATTTTCATCTTTTATTAGTTTGTCACACTTTGCAATTTCGTCAGTTTTGTTACCATTCGTCACCTTTTGCTAATTTTGTCACCTTTCATCAGTTTCAAACCTTTCATCGAGATTTTAGTTGACGAAACTCAATCCTAGGTTTTGACTTTTGTCAGTGCGAAATCTTGAGGTTTCGTCTAACAACTACAGGTTGAATCAATTAATATCAGGTGCATACCGAGAAACAATCTTCCCCGTTAGTCTGCCATAGATCCACCAAATACCTGCTAAATATCAGCAGCATATTGACAGCATATCAGGAGGCAGATTGATATCGGTAACATAACAGCACAATATTGGGATATACCGATATCTTACTCTTAGCACTCTGTGCCTAAAAGTAAGATATCCGGGTATCCCAATATTTGCTGTTATGTTACTGATATCGATCTACCTCCGATATCTTACCATTATGCTGCTGATATTCAGCAGACTAACAGGACATATGGGAAACTTTAACCTGTGAACTATAAATCCGAATATTTCTTTTAGTTTTTTTTAATGTCTATGAATCAGTCAACAATCTCAATAAATATATTCATCAAATATTTATGAATAACACTATATTTACTTAATGGCACAGGACGTGTTTTATATACAAAGTAATCATATCTATATAAAATATTATGATAAAAATTACTAGGTTGGATTTTTTTTTTTTTTATCTGATATTTTTGCACTCGTGAAGATCCAGCATACCCAGCAAGATTCTTTAACTGAATCTTCTTATGATTCAGCATTAAACCTATTACAAAATTTTATTAAAGTTTACTTTAGTAATTAATTATCAATTATCAATTATTTATTTGTTACTGATCGTACTCACTGTACAAAAGTATTGCACCGAGTTTACTATTCAAAACCCGGCAAATCTGACTGAAGACTAATATATTGACATTATCAAACAATCAAAAAACTGTCTATCTTCATTGTAAAATTTCTATCCATAAATTGATTTATCTTCGTCGTTCCACGTCGCTGCATACTCATAATTCGGTGACAGCATATGGTTTATAATTGATCTCAACTTTCACCGTCTATATTTGTCTGATAATGAAAGTTGAACTAAATTCAAATATTTCAAGATGACAAATTTCAAGCTCGTTAACGAATATGAAAAACCAAAATCATAGCCAGAGCATTAAAACGGAATTTTTAGTATAATGCCTATTTCTCATAAAACTGGCATAAATTTATTTAGCAATCCTGTTTATTTCATGGTTAAATAATATTATATATATAGAAGAATTGGAGAGTTGATAAAAAAGAAAAATGAGTACTATTTATTTCGCCTAATTAGTTAAGCTGTTTTCATAAATTTTGGGGCATCTAATAAAAATCAATGTAAATATCTTTGCTAAATGACATTTTAGAGTATATTCGTTATTGCTTGAAATAAACTTGATATTATATTAGATATAGTTACTGTTGTTTCAGATAAGTGCGATATTTTAGATTCAACTGCAGTTGCTTACAATCTAACATTCTTAAAATGTTTACTATAGACGAACAAGCTAAAGATTCCTTAGTTGACTTTCTTCTTGATCTATTTTTATAATAATTATTATAACTTTTATTAAAACTTTTAAATAAAATAAAATTATATACAGATTATTGCTTTATTTTGTTGATTAAAATTTTTGATAATATATCTAATTTAAAAAAAAAATTTTTATACAAGAATAACTTAATAGAAAAACTGAGTCTTAAAATTTAGCATTAAAATTATCACAAAAAGCTTTATATATAATATAAAGAAATCCTTCTTTACATAATTACAGTTTCAAATTTTTGGTTACTGTATTAAGGTTAATTCATAACATACGCACATCTTTTAGCTAGAAAATTTATAGTTAAAAATGGTTAATTAATTAAAATTTTTAAACCATAACTTCTTTTAACTACACTAATGCAATTGTTCATTACTAATATTAGTAGAAAAAAATCGGTAGTACGTACATTGAATCAAATTTTTTGAACACTTTCTTTAATAGTAATTTATTAGTAAAAATATATCGGTTTGCCAGTCAATTTTATGTATGAAATCTTACACTATTAACAATATACTGTACTAGTTTTTTTTTTTTTTTTTTTTTTTTTTTTTTTTTTTTAAGATTCGGCAGTCATGCCATAACTTTATTAGGCTTTGTATAACTCATCTAGAATATGGAAAATTTTGCAACTAGGATTTACGATAGGATTCGGTAAGTGATAAACTCTAAACAAGTCAGCAGATAGTGTATGAGAACTATCTCTAAATGACAAGTGCCATATTATTCCACCTAGCGCTACCTAAATTACAAGTTACAACTAACCCGGTTATCAACTTGGTACCTATATTTGACCTGCTATAGCAAGATTTCCCTCCTTCTGGACCCCTCCTGCAATTGGATTAACTCAGCTCTCAACAGTGAACCTTGCCGCCCGTCATGACTACCTCTCTCTTCTTTCAGACCTCTTCCACCCAAACCTGACAACATAATTAAACCCTTATTTATACATAAGAGTAAAAAAAATAAAGCCATGTTTATGAAAGATATAAACATTTTAGAAAAAAAAACACCTCATGGTGGGAAAAAAAAAACTTTTCAACAAATTCTAAAAAAAGTTTAACATAAATGAACAAAGATAAAAAAAGCAAAAAAAAAAGAAAGGTAGCCATGACACACTATTATAGCCTGTGCTAGACATAAAGATAAAAATTATATAATAATTGCAACTAATTACTATATCTCGATTGTAAATCTTAAGTTTAACTTTGGGACTCGTTCCGGACACTGACTCAACTCAGGTATCTCCTAAACGGGGTGGCGATCTCTTCCTCATATTATAGCGCCGTATTGATAAACAAAACAAACACGTAGTTGCATTCTACTGAGTCGTCCAAATTAGATAGGTGTAAACAATGCTGATTTTTTGGAGAGGGTAAGCTAGATCCCCACTTTTTATCGAAAATCTTGGAAGAAAGGTATTAGAGTGGAGAAAGATATGATAAGAGTCACTTGGCTTTAAATTTTCAAGAAAGTGTGTAAAAAAAAACTCATTCATTGTTCCCTTTCTATTATATTGTCTATGCTTGACTTTGTCGACGATATAGCCTCACTTCTATTAGAGCACTAATATCTCTAAAATTTTGTATACAAGGGCAACACCTCTGCCAATTATCTTGTATACCAACGCTTTTGGTTTGCATTCCTAATATGTAGAGGAGTCCCCGAGTAGAAGGTTGACCTTTACAAGAACCACCACATAGTGCCTTCACCTTTTCCAACGAAATTTTTGGTTTGTTCGGTGGGAAAATTTGGTACGAGTGATCGTTGGAAAGAGTTGTGTCATTTTTTTTTTG